CTTCTTCACCGTGCCTTCTTTCGCTTCCTTCGCTTTGTCGTCGCCGTCCCGTCCTCCACCGTGCCGGGGCGAGGGCCAAGCGTGCGCCCGGGGTAGGGCGGAACTAATGCCTTGTGGCAGCGGCCGGAAGCAGGCTGCCAGCGCGAGCTGTCGAGGTCGCGAAAGCGGAGCCTAGCTGTTCGCTCTCGAAGGCCGCCATATGCCCGTATGCGGCATTCGATTCCACCGCCGGCCACCATGCACCGGCTGACGCGGCACGATAGTCGCCCGCGGCCGTAGGCGCCCTACTGGCAGCCACCGCCACAGACCATGAGCCACGCCTTTGAACTCACCGCAACGCGTGGCACGCCTCTGCCGAGGGACGCCGCCCGAACCTCCGTGAGCGCCTCGGAACTGCAGACGAGAAAGCGAAGACGACGGCCGGATACAAGGCTACGGTGGCGACACCTGTACGGCAAGCCAAAGGCAGACGAAGCAGTGAAGATGGCGAAGGCGAGAACCGCAGCGAGCGGGAGGAAGACGCCTTGGGCGCGGCAAGGAGGAGGAGCCGGAAGGTGAAGCGCGGCGTGGTCACGGCGCGAAGCGATGGAAGGGCCTTCGGTGGTAGCGCTGCACACCGGTTTGGGGGAAGCTCGCCCCGGTCGCCGGAGGCGCTTCTTGTAGCTGCGACATGTAAGTGAGCGATGCGACTCTGGCGTCGTCTTCTCGGGGCTCGGTGATGCGCCGGGGCGCTGAACGGCCGCATGCGCGGTTGAGAGGAGAGGGAGCCCAGCTCACGGACTCGAGAGGGGCTTCTTGGGAGTTAAGGAGGCGCTTGATTTGGGTCGGGATGGGAGTCGAGGTCGGGAGGCGGCGCATCACGGAGATGTACCTTGATCGGAAGAAGATACCGATGGGGAAAAATATAGAGAGCGCAGTTCGCCTTGAGAAGGGCATTTTGGACGTTTTTCATTGATTGGGCCCACGTGTCGGCGAATTAAAGCAAAAATCAAAGCAGAAGTTGTTGGGAGGCAAAAAAAAAAAGTAAAGTGTCGTGGCATATAAGTGTATTCGAATTTTTTTAGTATTGTACGTAGGCGCAATTTATCTTTTATAATGACACAGGTTAAAAGGCTCATCAATCTTGACATCAACTGCGTTTACGATTTACCATCTGTTAACGTGTGCTTATACGAATAAAACCCGTGTAGTAGTAGTAATACAGAATAGACATATACGTGAGCCTTACGTTAATTGCCAGGATATATTTTTCTAGGAAATGCTGTAGGTACTCAAAACAAAACCCAGAAAAAGTGTCCCATCTACCATGTCCTTGTATCCTCCTGACATCAACCCCGCGTTTATAGTTTACCATTTCTTACCGTACGAACAGTGAATACTGTGACTCTAATCCTCTGGGTTTTGGAGTTCCAAATTATAGTTCATTTTTTACTTCGGCGGAAATCACAAAACTTCTCTGCCTTGACTTTTAGAAAATCATATTAATGGAATAAGTACTTTGTTAAAACATAACTACCAAACTGACGATTTTAGACATGGTTAAAATTAAATTTGAGGAGCGGTTTTCGATACTGCTACTACACCACACAGGCTGTAGAAACAAGGTATTTTTTGGGTGATTCCACAGCTATTCCTAAAATCGATTTTAAAGATGCTTTTATTGAGTCAACCGCCCTTATAATTTTTGACTTTATTGACTCTGATATCTTAAAAATCATAAAAAATATAACTCTCAAAAAAATAGAAAAAAACATTTTCGCTCGCATGAGGAGCTATCACATGGTCAAGTCAAAGCCACAAGCACGAATCGAACATTTTTTAGCTAAGAGCCCACAACCATCAATCTAACATTTTTTGGCACAAGTCCACCCATGGGATTCAAACCTATAACCTCTTGTTTCTACAATCTCCTCCCACCACCCGTCACATTACACAGTCACTTGTGATCAAGTATATAAGATGCCACATCCTTTGTATTAATTCTTATGAATCTTGCAGTGGTATTTTAGGGATAAAAGATGATCTCAAATAAAAAATTAACTATAAAATTTTATCTCGTTTGAAAATTTGAAGGTTTGAATTTTTTAAAAAAAAAATAGAACTAATAATGTAAATATGAGCCTATAAGCGATCTCAATATAAAATAAAATCATCCACTACAAAGTTTGAAATCTCATTGAGATCTATAATTTTGATATAAAGTTTGCCTTCACTTGATTTTATTTAAAAATATATAAATTTATTTGGTCAACAACAGCTATTTTCAAAGGTGATTCCTAGAAAATGTGGTTTTAGGAAGTTGTTTATTTCACTTCCCCACCTATAAAATGGTAGATTTATATGGCCGCTTTTATTAGGCCAACCACCTACAAAATAATTTATAGGGTTAGTTCATAAGCTACAGCCTATAGTGCAATACAACATTTATAAAGATGGTTGACTAAGTCAACCACTCCAAAAATAATGGGATGCGATTGTAAAAAAATATGTGTAGTATTGCATATTTCATGAAAATTTTATTGAAACTTATTTAATGTTGTATATGGTGATGTATTTCCCTATAAATTTAGTTAAAATTAAAGAAGTTATGGTTTAGAACAAGCTATCAAATAAAAATGCCAATTAAAAAGTTTTAGATCTCTTGCCGAGCTCAATCATTTTGATATGAAGTTTGTCTTTATTCTATTCTATTTGAAAAAACTATGAATTTGTAAAAATCATCGATGCAGTAGTGTACTACATTTCATGGAGAATTTGTTGAATCTAAATTGATATTGTATATGACGATATGTTTGTCTATAAACTTGATCAAAAATTTTAAAAACGATTTAAAATAAAGCTAGAATAAAATATAATTGGAACGGAGAGACTGAGAGGGTAGCGATGACTCAAAGCTTTCTTCTTCCCAGAAATGAATGCTGGATGATCTCGCGGCAGTTTACCAGAATTTGTCAAGCGTCGACTCATCCTGTGGCTCCAACCGCTCCAGTCGACACCAAAACTTCAACCCCAATCTGAACATTCCATGCATCGTCAGAGAAGTATGCGAAGTCAACCAGACGTACGGCCAAAGTTACTGTACGTTGGATCCTTCTTCGTTCCCACCCTCTCTCTCCTTGGACGTTCACCATTTCTCCATATATACGTCGTCATCTCTCCCCATCTTCAACTGACCATCTCGATCGGTATTCATGGCAGGTTTTTTCCTCGTGGACGGCCAATACAACACACTACTCCATCGACTTCGATTCGATCCGCGGACACGCAACGCGTGTGGAAAACAAACGGAAATCCGTGTCCGCAAGAGCTCTGAATCACATAACATAGCAATTTCTCACATCACAGATTCACAGGTACGTACTATACGTGCAAAGTGACCCGTGAGAGAACGATCCACCCCAGTGGCCAGGTCAGGCATTCAGACGGATAGGAGCCGGATCGGATCGGAGGTCAGCCAGCAATTAATACACGGACGACAAGTTCGGAAGTCTCCTGTTCATGAGGAGACGACGATGGCGAAACCACACAACAGGGTTGTTGTTGTTGTTACTCCGCAGCAGATGATCGATTCAGTGTTTCGTTCGCCATAGCAGGATTGACGCGGAGAAGAAGCTAGCCGATCGGCGCGAGCGCGATGGAGCAGCGTGATCCCACACGCGCGTGCGCCACAGGATAGCTGTGACCTGTGAGACGAGCTGACACGGCGGCGGTGGAGCAGAGTGATCATCCCACATGCGCGTGCGCCACAGGATAGCTGGCGGCTGCATGCTCTCATGGTTTCCTCCTCCGGCTCCGCTTGTCAAAGTGGCGGTGCTTTCTGTCAGACAGAACACAGATTTTCCGTGGCCGCTCCGGCGGAATTCGTCGAAGCGCAGCGATGGACCGTTTTTGCGGTCGGGGTCACGGTGGCCACGACGACTCCGATAGCGATCCGCCTGCCACTGCCAGGGATCCAATCTGCTCCCATTTTTTATGTAACTTTGATTGATCTGATTTATTTTTTTGAGTGGAACTTTGATTGATCTTTTTTTTTAGGAGAAGCAAAAAGCTTTATTGACCTTCATAAGAAGTACGAGGCGCCATTACGGCGAGGATACAAACCAAACATGTCTACCAAGTTCATCATAGGCACTACTTCTAGCTAAGACGTGGGCATCAAAATTTGATTGCCTTCCTTCATGAACAAAATCAACGAAATTGAAATCGCGTGATCTAGCTCTAGTTTCCTGAACAATATCCATAAGAGCCCATGGTCCCTTCCCGGATGCTCCTGATAACTTCTGCATTGTCACTACGACAATCTACAATCTCGGAGGACGAGATCACTTGTAAGCGCTAGGCCCTCCTTGCATGCAATTGCTTCCACTATATTAGGTTCCAAAAGGCCCTCCATCACCACGACCGAGGCACTTTAGAACTTTCCGATGTCTCTTTTACTGCTCACTGCGATGTGACTCTCAATCTTTTTTTAGCCAACGCAGGCGTCAACATTGATCTTCATCAATGCCGATCGGTGGTGGGATCCACCAAACGGGCTTCCATGTGCTTCAGTGTCGCGCCCTCCCTTGAGGCTGCATGAGCTCAAGGTTCGCCACAAAATTAGAAACAAATTGGTGCGTCGGGCTTTGATAGATATTTTGTGAACATAGATATTTAGTCGATTAATTAACTAGACCTAGCAATTTTTGGCCCAAATAAATTAATAGGCCCATTCTATTCATAAGCCTAGCCCATCAAAAGACCAGGAGGAGAACGAGACTACCAAAAACTCAGCCCACAAACAAACAAACACGCCGGAGCAAACGAAGCCCAGCCCATGTCCATCAACGACGACACGACACAATTCCCGTGCCGCTCACCCTCCTCCCTCCTCCTCTGCTCCCATTTCAAACGCGCATCCCCTCACCTCGCCTACGACTCTCCCCACCGCGATCCCCGCAGCCGGCGCTGCAGCTTAAACCCTAAGCCACGGCCACCCCCTACGTCGGGGGCGCTCCGCGATGCGCCGGTGCGCGGAGGCGATCGCGAGGACCGTGCTGGCCTTCCTCGACGCCGTCATCCTGGGCTGCCTCCGCTCATGCTTCGGCGCACGCCCCCGCCGGGGCTCTGGCCGCCGTGTAAGACAAACCCCTGGCCCTCCTCCCTCGACGTTCCTAAGTGATGATCTGGTGGTTGTCTCGTGGTCATCATTGTTTTCGTGCTCTCGCCTCTCGTACAGGATGCGCTCGTGCACGGGGATCAGGCCGCGGCGGCGGAGGTCATCTGGGATGACGAGGAAGGTATTGCGTTTATTTTGGTTATCATTTCCTCGGGTTTGGATGTGCCTTAGGATTCGGTTATCAGGGTGTTTTATGTGTTTGTTTGTCGTTGCTGCATTGGGAAAGGTTTGGTAAGGGATGGACGAGTTCATGAGGATTTTTGCTGACAGGGTGGAATTGATGAGGAGCTTAGACACGAGGTACGCGTGCCAGATTAACTGCTGCTTAATTTCTTATAAGACCTTGTGAAACAAATTAAACTGCCAATTTTTACTCCAAGGATTGTAATGGTTTTAACTCCTGGATGCTAAACTTTTATGGTCCTTCTGATAATGCAATGACCGGGGCTTTTGCCCTGAAACTCTAAAAAAATTATTCCAAGGACTAAGATATTTAGCCTCTTCTAAGTTGATTTTCGTGGCACTCTTGACTCTAACCAGGCAAGTTACCTTAAGCTATGCGGCACTATTTCTGAAACCCCAGCTGAACTTTGCAGTGAGGAGTCATATGAAAACAATTTTGAAAAATACTAATGAGGTGGGATTACCCTTCTCAAAACCTGCTCCATTACTAGCTCGATTGTCTGATGCCCTTCATTTCTGGACTTGCAGTGTGACAACAAGCCCACTTCTGGACCACCAGCGAACAGTAAGTTGCTGTTTGAAGCTAATTCATCAGAAGGTAAGAACCACTGTCATTTTCACAAGTTTCTGAGATTATTTGTATTATCATGAGATTACAAAAATCAATGCCTCCTACGCCATGCAATCTTAGATGTGAGGACTGTCACTCGCTCAGGTATGAACTGAACACTGAAGATGCTGGCCATCATCATGGAGTTGAATTTGTTCCTCATTCAGCTTCCTCGGAAAAGAGATTGTTTCAAAACATCCAGCACAAGCCTCTTGATTCTAGTGGTTCACCGTTCCCAACTCCTCTAGTTCTCAGGGATGATATGCAGACCCCTGGAACAGCCTATGCTTCACATAGAGGGACTTCTGTATCTGGAAAGCGTGTGCGAACCCGGAAACAATTCATATACCCTGTCCTCAGATCCATCGAGAACAGACTTAAGCAAACAGAACTGACAGAAGATTCTTCACCATTAGCATCGTTCAATCCTCTAAAAGGGAGAAACTTGGAATCAGATCCTATCAAGGATCCAACCCAAAGATCTTCAACTTCAGTGGTCATATCAGGATTGTCTGAAACTCCATCATATTCTGCACCTGATCCTAATGCTTCATACGAAGTAAAAGAAGCACTGTCTCCCGATGAGTTACTCGATGGCAAAGGACTACCAAAATCCAACTCAGATGAAAAGAATGTTGCATTGAGCCTGTCCCGCTGGCTGAAATCCTCCTCCGCAGATGCTGAGAATCAAGGTGATGTTAAGTGTCCAGCAGGGGATCAATCGTTTGATGACTGCAGCTTTCTAACTGAGAAGCCTGTCCTCGCGGCATCTGATCTGAACTTGGATACCGATAACCCCACTCCTAGGTTACCCAAGGCATGGGATGGCAACGGTATTCCCAACACAACCACCAGATACAAAGAGGTACTCATTTGTCACTATCTAATGCTTCCTTTTTTTTAACATGTGGTTATATGCACTTTTGATCTAAATGTAACTTTGTTAGGATCAAAGGGTCAATTGGCACACCACGCCATTTGAACAAAGACTGCTGAAGGTGTTATCTGATGAGGACCGTTGCCCTCCAAGGTCTTTTGCTTTTGCTTTTTACGTACATTATTCATCAAAACCCTCCTTGCGTATCGACATGCACTTAGGCTAAAACTAACTTGTTTGTCCCACCTTTTGTTCGTACACCATGGCACCATGCTACTTATTCTCATGGTAAAATCGTGATTGAATGCAGGAAAGTCGTCCGGGGGAAGTTGTTCCATCTCGAGGAGAAAGCTGAGTAGCGGGCAGAGTGATCATATGTAGCCCAACTGTGATGAGTCTGTCAGCGACCTAATATGAAACCAATCTCTAAAGCTCCACCGTCAGACATGTCGCTGAACTAACGTTTATTGTCTGTTTTCTGTGAGGGTGATGCTGTGTACAAATGACATAGTTTCTGTTGGGGTGTGAGGCTGTGTACAAATGGCATAGTTTCTGCTGGGTGTGATGCTATGTATAAATGGTGGATAAAGTCTGTCTTCTATGAACATCAGCTGCTGAATGATATCAAAATATGAGTTATTGTCCCTGGCTGCCCTTTCTTGAACTCTTGGTAATGCAGCATTGTTGACACACTGCTCACAAGCACACCGATTTGTAGCTCACTCTATGGTCGACACCAGCACTGACACGAGTGAAACGCCATCAGTTAAGTACTGCTGAGCAAGCTTAGATGCTTGGACATGTCCTTTCTTGCTCTTCCTAGTTGCTATAAGCTCAATTCTCGAACTATTATGTGTTCATTTCTTTCTGAAGTCAGTAGAGCAAAACGTGCGATAGTTGGTACACTGTTCAAACTAGGCACATATTATATTACCGAGGAACTGCTAAATCTGAACCATTTCGAGCTTTACATATTTTTTCCTTCCCTGTATGCTGTATATTTGTTTTCTGTATATTTGAAAAATCTATATTTTCACGTGTTAGAAGAAGGTGCTGGTGCAATGCGGTAGAGTCTTACCGCCTATGACGGAAGGTCCCGGGTTCGAAGTCATGATCTCCCCTGGCATTGCAGGCGAGGTAATCTTTGCCATTGACACCTTTCCCTGCATGGGCCCCACACAGCTGCGGGAGCTCTCAACCTGAGACGCCCTTTTTATATTTTCACGTATTGTAACAACAGTCACCCATCAGCCTCTTATATGCAGGTGAAAACTTCTGGGTACGCATGTACAGAAGTCATTATGTAGAAGGATACACCTCTTGCCCCACTTTGAGCCATCTCTACAATGGCATGATCTTCTCCTCCATGCCGTCTTCATAGTTCAACAGGACGCCAAACAAAATCTTTCCCTGTCCACATGTGGAATTCCTTTAGTTATAAGATCAGAAAAGCAAAGATGAGCAAGACAGCGCACATGAACCCACCTGTTTTCGTCTATACGATGCTAAAGTTGTCAGCGGTTCCTTTGACTTGATCACCTGCCCTGAGCTCTGATATAGGTTGATCATCTGACAACGGTTGCATCCTCCATGGACTGCACATGGACCATTCGGAAAATAAGACAAGTATTCAGCAATCAGCAAATAAGCAAAATATGCCTGAAAGCTAGTTTAGGAGCCACTAACCAAGTAGCTAACTCCTTTAGGGTTTTATTATTGGCAAAATTAGCACTTGGGCATAATCATTTACCAAGACAGACAGCAAAATGTCTGAAAGGATATTTATTTTAATCTGTGAAGTGATACACTCCCTCTGATTCAAAATACTTGTTTTAGCATTCCCAATTTCTTTCCAAATACAAGCCATCCTAGAACTTCACTGCACCTTTTCGCTCTTTTCTTCCTTTCTTGCCCTTGCTAATAAATGCTATCACTCTCGCAAATAAATGAATAGATATTTCCAATTAAGCATAGTAAAGCTAGCTAGATCATTTGATCCATTTTCTTAAGGGGCTCTTGCGTTTGTACCCTTGTTTTGTATCAAAATTGTGATTTTGCTCCTATTTTTTTGACTTTTGTGAATTTACCCTCATTGTGCCATTCACGAAGCACAAGTTTCTTACTCAAGTCATCCACCCCTAACGGTGTTAAACTTTGTACAAAAAGGACATAAATGCCCATGCGATTTTGCCCCTATTTGTTATGTCTAATTGTGATTTTACCCTGATTTGGAATTAGACTTTTTTATTTGTATCTTGACAATTGATTAAATTTGGTCAAACATATTTGGCTTTAACTTGCAATTATTTGAACTCAGATTTAATATTGATAAATATTCAAAAATTTGGGATCAAAAGGTTCATAATGTTGGGATGGGAGATTACATAAGATGCTACAGAGATCGATTCATATGTAGACAGTGGACTGGACTCCGCCGTGTTTCCGTGTGTTCTGGTCTCAGATTAGTTCCTGTATAGCAAAAACCAGATGTAAATGATCACGCACACATCGCCTCTCCATGTACAAGCTAAGGCTAGGATCATCAGCGACTCTAGCTTTCAGAGGCTTTGGTCTCTGCTCGATGCCGTCGCGTCCAGCGTCGGCATAGCCCTGGACGCTGCCGCCTTCTCCCGGTGAAACCTCCTGAAGTCAGCGCCGAGGCCGACGTCCACGTCCCGCTTCATCTTCTCCGCCAGCCTCGACAGAACCTGCATTGCATTACTTGGCTCCAGCTTTCAGGAATCAGAAGAGTATTGTTTTGGATGCCAGGCGAGGCAAGAGCTACTGAGCTAGGTACCGATTCGGCGACGCCGCGCGGGATGGTCTCTGGCACGAGGTGCAGGGGCGGCGGCAGGACACAGGTGATGGCGATCTCCAGGTGGCCCCTCATCCGGCACCCGCAGTTCCGGCTCCGGTCGGCGTACAGCGACTCGCTCACGCCAAGGTCGAAGCTGGATGGGGCGTACCCCTCCCTCTCCCTCTCCAGCCCGGCGGCGCCTCACCACTCCCCTCCCAGCGGCGTTCCTCCCCCCGGCAGCGCGGTGGCTGGAGCTCGTAGTGGCGCGGCTTTGAGGTTGTGAAGGGATCCACCAGGATCCCATAAGGTCACTCGTTGATCCTTGATAATGTTAGTCCAGAGTACACCACTAAACTTCTGCTGCAACCGGACTAGAAATTTCAAAAAAGGAAGCACTTGTCTCTGACCTGAAATCAGAATTCCTTGTTTGGTGCCAAGTAAATGCTTGAATAGTGCACAGCTGCTTCGTTGTCCAAAGGAAGACTTTATCCAATCACAAGGCCTATTCACATTTACAGCATGGGCATCAATATGTCCTTGAAGTGATATCCATTGAGCAATCTCCCAAAGATCAGTGAATGATATGTTATCAAATGGCAATAGTTCTCCATCCGATGAAAGGGTCTCCAAAATCCACGACTCAAATGCCAAAGTAGAGATATACTGATTTGTCTTAGTGAAATGCCAAAGCTGATGCTGATTGGTTTCATTAGCAATCACTCTGTGACTCACATAATGTACCAACATAAATTGATATGAAGATGGTAGTAGAGACATCTCCAGAACCTTCGCTGCCATATTGCCTTGCATGGCTGTTTGTAACAGTTGAATCCTTGTATGCCGCAACACCGAAATGGAGTGATGAACTACGTTGCCCTCCACAGAAAGCTGGCAATAGTTCCACTGTACTTCCCTCCAATAATTTGACTGAAGCAAACCAAGCCACTCACTATGACACCACCACACCAACCATGTCCTAAATCTTGCAGCTGTCTGTACATGTACTGAAATAGCAAGTGTTGATCCGATGCATGTTTTTCTCATCTCTAGCCATGCACCATTACCTTGGACCCTTTGTTGAGCTGCTGGCCGAACAGTTAGATAGATTGCAGACAAATACCATGGTGACAGCTCAAGCAGAAACCCACTGACCAATTGCATTTTCCCAGACCATGAACTAAACACTGCTGTGCATAGAGCTCCTAGTGGATGCCGCAACCAGAGCACAGTTGTGGATAGGCTTGGACTTCCTAAGTGCTGACTTCCAGAATTCATCGCGAGCATCAACGGCCAGTTTTACACTTGTTCGCAGTAAATCTTCTGCTTCAAGATACTGGATATGAACCTCCTTGACGAGGTGCGGCCTGGTGATGAGGCAAGCGGCGCTCTCGAGCGGGTCGTTGATGTCGGCGCCGAGCACCTCCAACTGCGTGGCAAAGCCGCCGTCGACGACCTTGGCGTCCGGGTCGCGACACGACATCGAACACCTGGCGTGCGTCTCCCAAAGGTGTTCTGTGGTCTCGATGGATATGGTGGGGCGACCTCATGGGGCAGCATAGAGGTCGACGAGGTAGAGGCGGATGCCATTGCTGTGGTCGTTGTCGCTGGCTTGCCGAAGACGGAGCCGGTGATGTCGTGGTCAGTGGCCTGCGTGGTGATGCAGAATTGGGAAGCGAGGGAGATGTCCAGAGGTGGATCTGCCATCGTGGTTGCCACGGAAGGTGCAGTGGAGGGCGTCGCTGGCTTGCTGGTGACTTCGTGCTCACGGTCTGGGCGGCGCGGCGGTGGCGGGCCATGAGGCGCGCGACGACGCCCGGGGCGGCCCCATCGGTGGCCGGGTGCGGCGCCGTCAGCGGGGCAGCAGGAGGCGGGCACGGGAGCCTGCGTGGAGAGGAGGAGCGGATGAAGGAGGGGGGGAGGCGGCGCGGAGACCCGCGGCCAGGCACCGGAGCCGCGCCGCAGCAGGCGCGAGCCGGGGGGAGGGGTCGGGGCGGAGCTCGCCGCAGGCCACGCGGCGCCACAGCCACTGCGGGCGCGAGCCTGGGGAGGAGCGGGGCGGAGTGAGGATGAGCTGCGCCGCCACCAGTAGTCGCGCCGCCGCCGGTACTCCCCAAACCCTAACACGCGAGCCGCGCCGTCGGAGTGTGGCGGAGGGAGGAGGAGACGCGCCGGGGGGAGCGGGAAGGAGGGAGGATAAGCCACCCGGGGGAGCGGGAAGGAGGGAGGAGGAGCTGCGCCGCTGCCAGGCCGCGAAACCTTCTGCGAGCCGCGACTTCTCGTCGGGAACGGGTCGAGCGAACGGGTGAGAAAGGAGAAAGGGACTGAGGGGTATCATTGTCTTTTCATGTAGGTGTCTTTTCTTTTTCTTTTTTTTACCATTTAATCTCAGCATTTTAGACGGTGTTACAAAGCAGGGGTAGACGGGAGCTTCGTTTGAAAAAAAGCGAGGGTAAAATTACAAAGTTAAAAAAAAGATGGGCAAAATCACAGTTGGAATACTGGACAAGGGCAAGAACACCATTTTTCCTTTTCTTAAGCGCACAACTCTAAAACAGGTATTTTGAAGGAAGTAGCAAATCAGTATGTTACAGTGGTTCGAGAAAAAAGTATAAATTGTACAGAGTACAACGGGGGATCATCAGGTTTGTATTGTGTCTCTGCAAATGTGTCCAGCAGCTAATTTTGCTTTAATATTTGATGCACACCTTGGTATGACAATGCAATGGCGCTTAACTAAGCACACGATTGATCAAAGTTTCCTCTGACAATTGGATCCAAAGGGGAAAAGGCACTTACAGTGAAATAGGCATCCCCTATGTGAAGCCTTTTCCAGTTATCCTCATTGTATGGTGTGGACCCATAGACAACAATATTTGGACGAAATCTCATTGCATCAACCAACACCCCTTGCTTACCATTTCCATTACCTACCACGTGTGTAACTACAAAGTGAGTTATCATGACAAGGTTATCCAAAAAAATGATTTATCTACTGATAGTGTCAAGCAATCTGGATATATTAGATGGTTCTGTAAGTGACGGGTAATCACAGGTCTTTTGGTGCTTTTGCAGTAAAACAGAGAGCACAAAGGAGGAACCATTTTTCTTTTTGATGGAAAAAGGGGAACAAAAACTGCGTACTTGAACTTAACCGGCTGTTGAGATCAGATATACTATCTTCAGAAACAAGAAGAAGCTGTCCTTCATTCACAAAACTAAGTTTGCTTCGAGTATCCCTACAGAGGCGATCTCTCCTGCCGTTAATTGTGCAGGAACGGTACTTGGAACTCGAGCATCTCACAAAGGTACAAGGACGTCCAATAGCTTCACTGAACCAGGAGTTTACCTTGTCACTATAACTTTGCACCTCATACCTGAAACAATTTGCCCAAACTTGTCATTATTATCACAATAAAGCTGAAGTTATCCATAAAATCAGACTAGGTAGAATATCACCAAACAAAATCAGCCTAAATAAACCAGATGCTAATTGGTGTAGGAACAAAGAACCCCGAAATCCACACCCACTACTTCTATTTATTGACTTCCTTTCTGTAGAAAGGATATAGGAAAACACCTAACCCCTAATGAGGGGGGTGACCTCTATTATATAGCCAATCAGGCTTGATATATATGGAATACAATCAGTGTACATGGAAGGAATGAACAAGCTTCCTAATACACATATATACTTCCTAATACCCGCTTAGTAGTCGTGGCGGGAGGATCACTGGACACAAAGATTGGACCGAAACTCGGTGAAGCAGTGGAGTTGGAAGGCCCCGTCATGATGTCCATGAGTGAGAGGACGGCACATGGAGGACCCGGACCTCACCTAAGGCCACCTTCTTACTGGACGAAGTGGATGTCAATCTCGATGTGCTTAAATGCGCCGATGATGTACCAGATTGGCATTTTGTCATGTGTAGATCGCACTCACATTATCACGATGAACAACGAAGGGCAAGCGGCGGGACATGAAGCTCCTGGAGAAGTTGGCGCAGCCAGCAACATTCGGCCACAGCATGAGCTACAGCACGATACTCTGCCTCAGCACTGGATCGAGACACCGTGGTCTGGCGCTTGGAGGACCAAGACACTAGGTTGTCGCCGAGGTAGACGCAGAAGCCGGAGGTGGAGCGTCGAGAGTCCGGGCAGCCAGCCCAGTCGGCGTCAGAGTAGGCAATCAGAGACTGAACAGAGCCTATGCCGATGTGAAGTCCGGAGGAGAGTGTACCCTTCACATAGCGCAGGATGCGCTTGATTAGGGCCATATGGGGCTCTCGCGGATCATGCATGAAGAGGCACACCTGCTGAACCGCATATGCCAAATCTGGTCTAGTCAGGGTGAGGTACTGAAGGGCCCCAGCAAAGCTTCGGTACTCAGAGCCGTCCTGGAGCTTGGTGTCGTCCTATGCCGAGAGCTTGGCATGAGTGTCAACGGGAGTCGCTGTAGAGTGACACTCAGCCATGCCAGCACGCTGAAGAAGATCCAAGGCATATTGTCGCCGAGGCAGAAGCAGGCCACAGGAAGAACGCGTCACCGAGATGCCGAGGAAGTGATGCACGGGGCTCCAAGATCTGTCATGGCAAACTTCGAGTGCGTGGTGGCCCATGATGTCTTTGGAGAAGAGTCGTGGACGACGCGGTGAGGACGATGTCATCGACATATAGCAGCAGAGATAGGCGATGCTCGGCCCTCTTTGTAGACAAAGAGGGACGTGTGTGAGACGGGAGGCGAAAGCGAAATTTGTCGAATGTAGGAAGGCGAACCGCCTGGTACCACGCCCTTGGTACCGCTTTAGTCCATACAAGGACTTACGGAGGAGCGAGACGTGATACGGGCGGCGGGGTCGATGAAGCCGGGAGGTGGCTGGCGATGAAACGATCTCGGCGAGATGGCCGTGAAGAAATGCGTTCTTCACGTCCAACTAGTGGATCGGCCAGGCGTGAGAAGCGGCGATGCTGAGGACGGTCCGTATTGTCGCTGGTTTGACAACTGGACTGAAGGTTTCATCGTAGTCGATGTCGTGGAGCTGGGAGAAGCCTCGGACCACCCAGCGCGCCTTGTGACGGGCGAGTGACCCATCAACATGGTATTTATGCCGGAAGATCCACTTGCCCGACACGACATTGGCACCGGGCGGCCGTGGGACGAGGCGCCAAGTGTCGTTGTCCATCGAGCTGGAACTCGTCGACCATTGCAAAGACGCCCGATTGGTGTCGCCGAGCACTACGATAGTTTGCGGAAGCGAGAGAGGCGATGATGGCGAAGCCATCAAGCCCTGGTAGGATTACCCATGAATGGCCCCGACCACGATCCGAAAGTGACGGCCGTGTAGGAGCGAGGAGGTGGCAGCGCCGCCAGGCTGGCGGCGCTGAGGCCCGCCGCAGCAAAGTGACAACGAGAGCAGGTGGGTACCGGCTCTTTGGTGCCAAGACCATGGCTAGCGGCCGCTGCAGGAGGCAGCCAAGCGAATCGCGCAGCCACGGTAGCACCGGTGTAGTGATGAGGTAGGCGGCACAAAGCAGATCCAGTAAGCGCCCGAGGCGACCGGTGGAACCCCCAAGCTGCAGAGAGCGAGGGACGGCGTCCAAGCGGGCTGGTCTGTAGTGGAGGAAGAGGCGGCGTCCCACCCGCAGACGGGCGTGGTACACTCTTTGGACCGCGTGCGAATGGCGGGTCGTCGTCGGGAAGTTCATGCAAAATAGGCTGGTGATGGCATGGTTGCGCAGAACGTCCAGAGGACGGAGCGGCCCGAGGCAAGAGGAGGAGCGAGCAGAGAGGCTCGACAATAGGAAGTCAAGTGTGGACGGGTGAGTAGGGTGGGAGGAGAAAGGAAAACGGAGACTCGTCAAAGACAACATGGCGAGAGATGATGACGTGACGGGTGGATAGGTCAAAGGCAGCGGTACCCTTTGTGGGATGAAGGGTAACCGAGGAAGACTGAGCTGCAGATCGAGGAGCAAGCTTGTGGCGTCTTAGTGGCGAAGAGAGATTAGGATAAGAGCACAAACAACCGAATACACGCAAGTGAGAGTATTCGGGGCTAGGAATAGAGTAGTTGGTAGGGAATGTTATTCGAACAATGAGAACAAAGGCGCTGTTCGGAAGATAGGTGGCGATGGCGAGTGCCTCGGCCCAAGATGGGCTGACCATGGAGGTATGAATCGGCAGGTGCGAGTGACATTATTAAGGGTGTGGAGGACACACTCGACTTTTCCCATTTTGAGGAGAGGTGTAGGGGACGAGGGGAGAGGCCTTGGTGGATGCCCCGAGAAGTCAAAAAGATGTGAGAGTCTTATTGACAAACTCGGTTCCGTTGTCGACTTGGATGTCATGAGCAGGAAGAAGCGAGCTTGTGTAGTGGCATATGCACGAGAAGGTTGTGATGTGTTTGGTGACTTTAGATTTGTGAACAAGAGGAGTTGACCAATGAAATGGGAGAAATCATCCAAAATGACAAGGTAGTAGCGGTAACCAGAAATACTAGTACTGGAGAAGTCAAGACATCACAATGGACTAACTCAAAAGGAGTGGAAGCTGCGAGAGCTGGAATTAGAGAAAGGTAAACGCACATGTTTCCCTAATTGACATGAATGACATAGAGTGTGATTTGTCTTTATTACAAGAAATTGATGCTCATTGTCTAAGTGTAGTGATGGCGGTGGGACGGGATGACCGAGACGGAGATGCCTGGCCCGGAGGAGATGGTGAGGCCGGGCGTAAGTCTTTGCAGAGTGGTGGCTAGAGGAATGGTGTAAAGATTGCGGTGCTATTGCGGTGAAGAATCTCAG